TTATTATTATTTTTTTTTTTATAATAGTGAAGAGACCTTTATGAAAATGATTGATTACCGTTTATTTATATTGCAGGTATGAATCTAATTTAGATGCTTAATTTAGGTTTATGTATTTATGTTCGTTAATGTTTTCTAATTATACTTGCAGGCTGGATGTGCAGTGGATAATTAATGAATGATTTGGCACTTGTGCCAAAATGAAGATCGATCGCACCAAATTGAAGAAAAGCAGCTCTGAAGTTGTAAGTGCAGAGCCATTTGTGGAAAGTTTTTACAGTTGACATTTGTTTGATTGCTTGTGAGGCAGTGCAAACTCCAGCCTTATTCAGTATGGAGCTGTCATGTGATGTGGAGTAAAATTGATATAAGAAAGGAATGGAATACTTGATAGACACAGATCTGTATATATTCCACCCTGTTTCAGGAGAGGTAAAATTAGCAATTCATCCTGGGTTATAGAGAGTCCTTTGATTCACAGTCACTTTAAAGGAAAATTAATAATTGGATGTTGAAGGGAGCAGTTTACAATAAAATGTAATAGCAGTATTGCAGGTAAGTTATAAAAATCAGTGCATTTGTAAGTACAAGTAACAACGAGTCAGGTGATTAAAATGAGAAAGTTAAAAAGCGATTTGATGAATCAGGAGTCCTGATAGTACGTCCAATCACAGGAAAGGAAAAAGTAGCAACTCCCCCCGAGTTCCTACTTTTTCCTTTCCTGAGATTGGACGTACTATAGACATTGCTGCGCTGTTGGCTATGTGAGTGTTTCGATGAAAAGCAGTGGCTATGCACTTGAGTATTTGTTTTTTCAAATGTAATGAATAAATAGTGCTACACAGTTGTTTTTGAAGAGTCTCACATGGGCATTGCAGTAATATAGCCATCACTGATAGTCCTTGGTTTAGTTGTAATTAATCAAAATTTTGTTTTTGAATTGAAGTTTGTATTTTAATTTTTCTAAATATGCAGAAGCTTGCTACATACTTTTTACAGTGGGCTTACCATCCACTTGATCAAAGATGATAGACCATCTTCCCCATTTCTCCCCTTGACACACAAACCGGTTCCCCAGCACTTGCTTTAATCGCCCTTTTGTTTTTTCCGAGCAGCCGGGGGACTGTGGTTGGCTGATTGAGAAGCTACAGAGCTGTAGCAATGAGGAGCTTCTCCCAGTCCTCCGGAGCGTGGAGACTTGGAGTTACGGAAAATGTGAACTGTATCACTGGATTGATGTCCTTGACAGGTAGGTGCCGGATTCTGTGACGTTTCCAGGTTGACATTGGGGTTGCTGTGGGATCTGGAGGTTGGTGGAAGTCTTATTGAAGAGAATGCTTGCTTGATGAATTCAGTTCATGTTCAGTCAGCAATTATCTAGATGTCAGTTGAAATTAAGCTTGTATTGAAATGGCATTTTGATGGATAATTCAAGATCATGGAGAGTTAAGAAATTGTTTTTTAATAGCAATTGGAAATTATGTTCAGATTGCAGTTCTAAGTTAGGATGGTTATTCAGATTAAACCTAAAAGTCACTTCATAATTATATTGAAAAAGCAGTTAGAAATTATTTAAAATAGCTATTAAAGATTTTGAAATAGCAACTCGAATTAACAACTCAAAATGATATTAAGATTGCAGTTCAAAGTTACATTAAACTGCCAATTCAGAATGGACTGTGAAATGGTAATTCATAAAGTAGACTAATCTTAGAATCACTTTTGATGTGGGATCTCCTTTCCAGATTCGACACAATTTTAGAAGAAGCAGCTCAGAAAGGTGAAGACAAATGGGTGCTTCCATGTGACCTCCCGCAGAATAACCATGTGAGTTTTATTTTTGCGTTTTTGGGCTCAGGTAGTCGCTTGGTGGAAATAAATTGAGGAAGAAAGAATGAAGGAGTGGGAAATAGATATAATGATAATGGGAAATTTTATTCATTAATGTTTGCGAGTTTTCTCAGAGTTAGCATTGTATAAGCCAGAGAAAGATATTGTCTCATGAGCGAGTTAGGAAGTAAGTTGATTGGAGTTAGTGAATATGGGGGGAATGCTTGAATGTGAGACTATTTGTATGTGTTTTGTGTTTAAATTCATGCTCTTTTCTAATTATGAAAATACAAGTCACATGTATGTCTTTATTACCCATAGGTCCAGGAACTGGTGGTATGGGTGCTCCACTTCACAACACTCCTTGTGGAGCACTCATTCTCACGCCACCTCTACTCCTCTGTGGAGCACCTTATCACCCTCCTCTCCTCCACTTCGATGACAATCGTTCTGGCTGTCCTAAATCTGCTCTACATGTTTAGCAAAAGGTTTGTGTTGCTAAGGACGTCTGGATTTTCTTTTATGACGTTGTTTGTATTATTATTGTTATTTATTATCTTTATTTGTATAGTTCTTTTTGTCGTTATCCAGTAATTTCATGTTAAAGACACATTGTGACATTTTCAAAGCCTATTACAGTATTCAAGATGGTAAGGTTGAAGGTTTTATTGAGGAATGCCTCTTGATATTGTCTTCCTTTTTTTCAGATCTAATTTTATCACACGTTTAGCAGTAGCCCCTAGAAAGGCACTGTTGACACGCCTCATAAATTTGGCCGAGCCATGGGGTGGCAAGGAAAATGGCTTTGGTTTGGCACAGTGCTGCCAAAATCTTCCTCTTTCTGTAAGTTTCTCCACTCAGTTGGAACATGACAGTTATGGAAATGTTAATTAACAGTTATTGATATTCATTATATGTGTATGTATATAGATAGATAGATAGATAGATACACTCTTTCATTTACCCAAAAGTCCTTAAAGTACTAGAGAAAGTTTTACTAGCATTTCATAACTGTGTTTGACTAGAATTTTAAAGTGTGATATCTTATGCAGTCTCTCTCCCACCCCGTTTGTAGAGCTTCCCAGATAACGCCACAACTCTACACTATGAATTCTATGGCGAGCATCAGCAGCAGCAGCAGCAATCTCAACCACAGTTACAGCAGGGGAGTGAGTCAGCAGGCAGTAGCGGCAGCAGTAGTAACAATGCCCGAGCAAACAGTTCCATTATAACCATTCATATAGACAACATGCAAAATATCCGCAAATCTCCAGCAGTTGTCATGGAGGAACTGCTAGAAGTTTATAAAGTGCCTCATGAGAAACAGGTGAGAATTTTTGGCCATCATAGAAATTGTGTTCATGCTGGGTGTTGAATCTTTCTTTAATAAGTCTTGGAACATTTTTCATGTATGGAAATTGTACATAATAAGATATACTTTTTGTGTGTGTGTGTGTGTGTGTCTTTTTGTAATATGATGTAGAGATACAAAAACATGCTGGTACAGATTATTTTCATGTGTTTATTTGCCTTAATAATAATTTCTCTACTTTTTCAGATGATCCTGTTTACCCACATAAGATTAGCTCATAGTTTTGGACAGTTCGAGACCAGGTTACAGTGTGTTCAGGCAAGATTGCAGGCGTTGTCGGTTTTGGTGTACTGTAATGCGCTTCAGGTATGTTGATAGTGTATTCTGAGATGTTCAAGATTTGATTTGTTGACTTAGATGAAATACTTTTACATTAATTCTTTACATTAATTCTACATGAAAATAATAGTTATAATTCTACATGAAAATAGACTACTATTGTTGTAATTATACATGAAAATAAATTACTATTGTTATAATTCTACTTATCAATAAATTACTGTTTTTATAATTTGACTTGAAAATAAATTATTATTGTTATTCTATAAGAAAACATCCGTATGTTTACAGTGTTTAATTTTTAGAGGACTCTTACAGGACAATGCCAATACAGTATTGTATTCTGGATTACTGGACGAATTTGTAGAAGTTTTGGAGCTTAACGACACCAAGCTAACAGAAATTAAGGCTGCAACGCTGCGTACCCTCACCTCCATCATCCACCTGGATCGTATGCCCAGTTTTCCCAAGTGAGTGCAGTGGCAGTCCTGCCTTGCTGGAGTGTTGCCGTTATTAGTTCATTGATTTATTTTTCTATTATTATTATATGTTTGATAGAAAAAGAAAAGTGTTTAAATTTTGGGCCTAAGAGGGTTCATGTTGTACATACTGTGTGTTTGTACATACTGTGTGGCTATTAATTTGATTTTGTTATTTTGTGATGAATATGCAATAAAAACAATATTGATTTTGTGTAATGTATATGATCATGGACTTGTACTTTGTATTACTTATATTCTTCACTGTCCACAGATTAAACACCATAATTGATGTAACCGGTGCCTCTTCCTACCATGGCTTCTTGCCTGTAATGGTGAGATCTTGTATATCTACGCTAACTGCAACTTCCCCCCCTACGCCCAACCCCTTCCCAGCCCCCCTGGCCACGGCCCTCTTCTCGTTCCTCTACCACCTGGCCAGCTACGAGGCCGGCGGAGAGGCACTTGTATCGTGCGGCATGATGGAGTCCCTCATCTCGGTCGTCAATTGGAAGGGCACCGAGCCCGATCACATCACGGTAAGTTTGCCGTTCTTTTGTATATTTTAGTATTTCTTGACATTTCTTGGTTTGATTTCTTTTGTTATTATTATTCTTGTTGATATTTTCTTCTCTCTTTCTCATCTACTGTATGTACACACACACACACACACACACACACACACACACACACACACACACACACACACACACACACACACACACACACTCACACTCACTCACTCACTCACTCACTCACTCACTCACTCACTCACTCACTCACTCACTCACTCACTCACTCACACTCACTCACTCACTCACTCACTCACCACACTCTCACTCACTTCACTCTCTCTCTCCTCTCTCTCTCTCTCTCTCTCACTCTCTCTCTCTCTCACTCTCTCTCTCTCTCTCTCTCTCTCTCTCTCTCTCTCTCTCTCTCTCTCTCTCTCTCTCTCTCTCTCTCTCTCTCTCTCTCTCTCTCTCTCTCTCTCTCTCTCTCTCTCTCCCCCCCCTCTCTCTTCTCTCTCCCCTCCACACTCACTTATACCTGTAACTATACCAACATCCCTCATTCCCACGTACATGCAGACAAATCCACAGGCACATACACACACTCACATGCACATATGTACAGGAACCCAATTTTTTGTTCTTTATTTTATTTTATTTTATTTATTTTTTTCTCTCTCAATCTCATTTAACAATTAACAATTTTTACATTTTGTATGTAATTAAAAAAAAAATATTTGATGGTATATCTTCTTGAGTCATAGTAATTTTTGGTACTATTATACATCACAGGTAGATAATTGAACCTCCTTGTTTGTTTAAGGTTGGTCTTGAGGAAACTCTTGCATTGAGTAGTCTGGATGTCTTTATGCTTACCCTGTAGTGTAGCTGTTCCAGGAAAAATGTCCATACATCATGATGACAAACACTGCGCAAATATGATACTGTCCGTGCATCATTGGTTGTTATTTGGCCAAAGTTTGCGAAAGCGGTAAAAGATATGACAAGCTTCTGAAGAACGTTGAGAGAAATACCAGTGCAGATTCTTGATTACATGACCTTTAATCTTTCCCTTCTCTCTTTTTCTGATTTTTTGCAGTTTGTGACCCGAGCTGTGAGAGTAATCGACCTCATCACGAACTTAGACATGCATGCCTTCCAAACACATGGTGGTCTTACTGCCTTCATCAAAAGACTGGAAGTGAGTTCTTCATACTTGTATACGTTTGAAGTGGCAGATTTTAAAAATATATATTTATATTATGTGGTTTTCAATTAGATTTAAGAGTTGATTGTGGTGTGAAAACTTACTTTATTGCTCATACTGAATGTGGATGCATTCTTTCCAGGTGGAAGTTGACGAATGTCGTAAGGAGCAGCCATTCCTGATCACTTTGCCATCGCCATTGGCAGAGAGCGAATCTAGTAGAGGAGATTTAGAGCAGGCAGCCACAGCCGAAGGTGAATCGGTGGATGCTGCAGAGTCTACAGAAGTGCCTGACACAGCCACCCACTCCCCCATGGACACTACAGAACCTCCTGTGTCTTATAGTACTAATGATCTAGAGGTCACCCCTAGCCAGCCCTCCTACTCAGCCAGTAGACCCAGCACATCCACGGCCATGGACGTTCCCGCTGCTTCCCGGCCGGACTACAGTGAAGCATCCAAATCTGGGTTGTCTTGCTTGCCTCAAAGAGCTGCCCTCATTAAGTCAATGCTCAATTTCTTGAAGAAGGCCATTCAAGAACCTGGCTTCAGTGAGTCAATGCGACACCTGATGGAAGGTTCTCTCCCTGCCTCCCTCAAGCACATAATTAGCAATGCAGAGTACTATGGTGCCTCACTGTTTTTGTTGGCAACAGATGTTGTTACTGTCTATGTGTTTGGGGAGCCGTCCTTGCTGTCGTCTTTACAAGATAATGGACTCACTGATGTTGTGCTTCATGCACTCCTGGTGAAGGATGTAAGTTGATTGCTTATTTGATTCAAAGTTTAGTTAGGTTTTTAGTCATTACTGTCATAATTGTTTTTTTTTTTTTTTTTTTTTTTTTTTTTTAATTTGTTTTCTTAATCTTTTGAGTCTGGCACTTCCCCTTCCTAAATCAGTATGATAACTTGTGTTCAGCGGGAATTATTTTGGATGCACAAAAACTCTTGTAGGTAATGTTCTTATATACTATCTCTCCTTCCATTCCACAGGTCCCTGCAACGAGAGAAGTATTAGGTTCATTACCAAATGTATTCAGTGCACTATGCCTCAATTCGAGAGGGCTTGCCGCTTTTGTGGCATGTAAACCATTTGAGAGACTCTTCAAGGTGCTGCTTTCTCCCGACTACCTGCCAGCCATGAGACGAAGACGTTCCTCAGACCCCATGGGCGACACAGCATCCAACCTGGGCAATGCCATGGATGAGCTCATGAGACACCAACCAAGTCTCAAAGCGCAGGCAATGAAGGCCATTGTAAAGGTAAATACTGTGTTAATATTAATCTTTAGAGGTTTGTCAGGTTCAATTCAGTTGCTTTTTCATTAACTTATTATACTCCTTCTTTAAGATATCATGGTCTTTAGATGCACATTTGAGTAGCAAATTATATTGCTTCTCAAAGGAATATACTACTATTTGTCTTTTAGTTTATTCTGTGTAGATATTAATAACTCCGATAATATTTCTAGCTCTTGGAGGAGGTGTGCCTATTAGGAAGTGACACACACTACATCTGCTGGAAGACGCCACCCAAGCATGAAGCATCACCAGCGCCAGTATCTCGGTGGGTTTCACTGTGAATCATTCAAGACTGCTTTCCTACATAATGTAGATTGATTTGTGGCTTGAATTTCTTTTTTATGCAGAAGTAAACAAATGGTGGAACCAATTTCTTTCATTGACTTGATATTACAGGCACCTTTTAATTAGTTACAGAATTATGTTGATTTCTGCAATGTTCTTTCTATATGAAAAAAGAGTATTGTAATTTTTTATGATTGGGTTGAAATGTAGAAAGGTTGATTTCTTTCTCGGAATCTAATAAGTGTTTTTTCTGTGTTTTAAAGTTAATGGTAATTTCCATATTCGTTTTATCCACAGGACAACCAATGATAATTCTAGTGATGAAGAGGAAGAGGAAGAAGAGGAGAGAGAAGCAGGAGTAACTGGCCCTCCTGTCTCTTCAGGGCAGAGGGAAGATGTACCGCCTACAGACACCACTACGGGAGAAAAACGCCCTGTTCCATTAGTCGATTATGTCCTAAATGTGATGAAATTCGTTGATGCAATTTTAAGTAACAACTCCACGGATGACCATTGTAAAGAATTTGTTGCACAAAAGGGCCTTGTTCCACTGCTGGGCATTTTAGGGTTGCCAAACCTTCCAATAGATTTCCCAGTATCTCAGGCGTGTCAGTCAGTCGCTTCTGTCTGCAAGTCTATTCTGGTAAGTTGGAAACTGTGTGTGTTTGAGAAGTTATTTATAAATGAAGAATTGACCTTTAGCTTCTTTTGTTTTTAATTGTATTATTTTGTGATGGAGTATAGCTGATAATTGTCTTTCCTTCAGAATATTTTAGTCCATTCTCTTTATCAATTTCAGAATCTTGCTCATGAAAGCGGAGTCCTGCAGCGTGGGCTTCAGTGTCTGAATGAGAAGCTCGAAGCTCTTGCTCCCTTGCACCAGCCTTTACCGTCCCCAGGGGGTTCTGTCCTCCTGAGAGAGCTGGCCTCGGCACCCACCCCGGGCGAAGCAACAGCGTTCCCTCAGGCCACCCCCCTTCTCCACACACTAAGTGCAGTTCACGCGTATATCATGATGCTTGTTCATGTGTGTCGTACTGGCCAGACAGAAATCCGACAGGTGTCCATCAACCAATGGGGCACAGAGCTGGGTCTGCGGGTATTGGCCGGCCTCACTCAGCTCTACACGTCACTGGTATGGGAGTCGACTGTTCTGTTGGCCCTCTGCTCTGATGATGCTCTGCCAGCTGGCTGTCTCTTTGGCAAGGAAGACACAGATAAATTACTTCCCCCTGACCTAAGAGTAAGTTTGCATGTTGATTCGCTATATAACTGAAGATGTTTGGGTGTGTTTGTCCGTGTATATTTACGTGTGTGTGTTAAATCAAGATTAGATGAGTTAGTTTTTCTCCTTGTGTATAGACATCTTTAGTAACAACAATTTAAACCCCACCAGGGTGAAGAGGGTGGCCGTGGAGAAGCTGTAGCTATGGAGGTTATGGAAACAGACACAGTGAAGATGGGAACTGAGGCCAGCACCCCATCAGGTGAGGGGGCTAGTGGAGACAGCCCGACGAGGCAGCAGTCCGCAGCCACACAGCACCAAATGAAACTTATCAAGCCACTCTTGTCGTCGGCTTCAAGATTAGGAAAAGCTTTGGCAGAGTTGTTTGGACTTCTGGTCAAGGTAAGACTTTATAAATTATTCTTAATGTTTGCTCTCTTCTTTCTTTTCATCAAAACAGTGGGAAGGTAGTGTTAACATGTATGTTTGACTGTTGAATTTTGTATGATTGTTTTGCCTGGGAAGGGGGATTGATAACTGTGTCCCCTCTCAGCTCTGTGTAGGATCTCCCCTGAGACAGCGAAGAGGCCAGCAGGTCGCAACCCCGTTGACTCCTCCATCTACATCGGCACGAGCTGTAGCATCAGCTCTGGCCAACCTCCTTAATGCAGGCCTGTCATGGAGTCCCCCTCCAGCATCCCCTCTACCAAAGTTCCGTCTCACTTTTCTCATCTGCTCAGTGCGGTTCACCAACCCCATGCTCTTTGACGACAAGAAGATGCCGTACCACCTGATGCTTCAGTACTTCATGACTTCTCAGGGCCTTAAAGGTGGGCTTTTATGCATAAACATGGTTAGGTAATAAGATTTGTGAAGACCTGTATTTATATATGTAAAGGTTTTGGAAAAGACAAAACAGTAATAATAGGTTGGGTAATGTTATGAATAATTTTTGTGCATTGGTCTTTTGCATTCTTTATAACTTGCAATACACTGCAATAGAATACATGTAAATTCTATTTTAAAAGTTCCTTATACCCACAGCTTTCTTTGATACCTTCGAGTGGGCCATAAGTGCTGGAGGGACAATGCAGACGCAGGATGGCCTGGACTCAGGAGAGCTGCCCGAGGGGACGGGAGAGTTCTTGGACACCTGGCTCTTCCTGTTGGAGCGATTAGTGAATCCCCGGACCATGCTTGACTCGCCACATTCCCTGCCTGCCAAGTCTTCCCAGCCAGGCTACCAGCCATTCAGTCCTCTCAAGTTCCTAATTCACATTCAGAAGGTGAGATTGAGGAGGTGACTTATTGTGACTTATGCATTGAATTCTCATATCCCTTTATTTGAAGAGTTGTGGCTTGTCAGTTGGAGTAGGATTACACTGTCTTCTTCACTGTTTTTGTTTTTCACAGAAATTATGTATGTTCTTCATGGCAAATAATTTCTTTGACAGCTTGCCTTTGAGGCTGTGATGAAGTTATGGAACAAGAAGCCACTGAAGTCGTACGGGGTGAGGATCTCTGAGTCTGTGCTGGTGATCCTGTGCTCGGTCCTCAAGGGGGAGACCATCATCCAAGAGCGCCTGGCCCTGGAGAAGGAGACCACATCCAGCACCTCCACCACCAGCAGCACCACCACCACTACAACCACAACCACCGCTACGACTGCCGGCACACCAGCGGCATCAGTAGCAGCAGCTGCAGCAGTGGCACTGGGAATCACAAATCATGGGGATCCAGTCAGCCAGGCACCAGCCGAGCCAGAGGTGAACCAGCAGCAGTTGCAGGCACTCATGGACATGGGATTCCCACGAGAGAGGTGCCTGGAGGCCATCGCGCAGAGTCACACCTTGCAGCAGGCAACCGAATACCTTTTGATGAATCCAATCATGGACCCAGTTGGGGTAAGCACTTTTTTTAGCTCTGCCTACAAGGCAAGATTTTTACCATTTTTACCTTTAAGAGATTTGAAATAACAGATACTTTTATTGAAGATAGATAAAAAAAAAAAATTGTACTATTTGTAGATACAGGAGGGTTTTGACAGTTCAGATTTGAAAAGTGTCAACCAAGAGAAATATAAAGTATAATGTACATAATGATAATGCTCTTAAGCAAATAAGGGAAAAGACAAAATGAAGACCTTTTTGATGATATTGGTACTATGAATCATTCTTCTTATTTTTAACATCATGAATTGATTAATGTGGAATTGGAACTACTTGTCTGATAATTGTAGCCACACTCTTATGCCAAAGTTACGTAAAATGATAACCAGTAGTTGAATAAGTAGAATACTGAATAGGATAATTGTGGAGTTAGAAATAGATCATATGGTTTTTTAATATGATATTTTGTTTACCTTTTTCTTAACTATAGTTTTATACAATTGTTCATAGGGTAGTCTGTAAACAGACTACCCTATGAGCATACTTGTCATTATAAAGTCCTAAAAGTCAACTGTGATTTTGCAACCATTAGGTATAAGAATAAATGTCATGGAAGTTTTTGGGTACCAGTGAAATGTAGGAAATTTCATTGAACTTTAGTGATTTTAAAGTGAGGGTTTAGTTTAGCGAAGCTTTTTTTGCCCATAAGTTGAAACATTCTGCTTTTTGCCCCTTTATATTATAACACATTCTAGTATTAAATGTATGCCAAGATTAGTTAGTTATAGGGAGAGTAGATCCAAAATATTAACCCATGTTAGTGATAACTGAAACCAAATATTTTATCGTTTCTTTTTTTCTTTTTTTAATACATGTATATTTTTCAATGAAATTTTTCTCATTATAATGGTTTCAAGCGTTAAAGTTGTTACAGGCCAACCGAAGGCAGGTGTATATGTCAAAATAGCTCCCGACCTCTGATCTTGCTTGAGAGTGGAGACGCTGGGGTTGAGCGCCACCTTTGCCTCGGTGCCAGCCTTGGAGAACATGCGTGCCGGCTTTGTGTGTTAGGAATGGGAAAATAAGATGGATGTAGCTTTTTTGACTTTTTTTTTTTAGTTTTATTTATTTATTTTTTTTTTTTCCTTATTATGAAGGATGATAAATAAATGCGAGTTATGTTATGGTGTGATTTGCAATGTTTTCAAGTACCTATATGTAAAGATTAAGAAGTACTCAGTATGTGTATGTGTATATTGAGTTCTATATGTGATGAAGTACCATTTAGAAGCTTTAGAGAAACATGATGCAAGTGATGCTTGAGAATTAGTTAGTGTAAATGCATACATCATGATATTGAAGTGATAAAGTGAAAATGTTATCACGTTGTAGGTTGGGTCAGGTGGGGATATGGAATTAACCGAGGAAGATCAGATGCTACAGGCAATCGCAATGTCCCTGGGAGAGAATGTGCAAGTGTCGGGAAGCAGCGGCAGCGGTAGCAGCAGTGGTCAGCAGGCCAGTTCAGTCTCCAAGCCACCAGTTGTCCCGCCAAAGGAAGAGGATGACGAACCCCTCAGCAAGAGCACACTTGGTGAGTGTGGGGGAAGAAAGGCGATGAGGAAAACTCTTGAGGGTTCAGCTATTCATCAATTATTAGGGTGTCATGTGGACTTTACATTCGCTAGACACAGCAAAAAATCACTTGAAATGAATAGATGTATAGTTTTATTTATGTTAAAATGTTTGGTCACATTTCGAAGCTGAATTGTTTCACTTAAAATTGGGAAAACTAAGAAGGAAAAATTAATGTTTATCAGTTTTCTATGGAGATGAAGAAATGAAGTCATTGGAATTTGAAAGGCTTTTGAGGGCTGATGCAGGAATGAGTAATGATTACTTCATGGTTTACAGAAGTGATAGAGAAGTCTCGTAGTTAATGTTAACATGAAAATGTACTCTGAATATCCATGTTATAAAATTTACTGCAAATTCAGTGAGTCAAGGCCATACAAACTAAAACCCTTTTGAATGTGTTGCAGACAAATTCTGTGAGTGTGTCCTCGAAGGTTGCCTGAGTCAGCTGGATGTGCAACCACAGATGGTGTACAAAGTGTGCGAACTCCTCACAACTTGCGCAACTAGAAATGGTAGCCAGTGGAGAGACAACATGCTCACTACACTCATTAACCAGGTCAGTGTGGTAAAAGGTCATGGAAAAGATTTTGAAGCCTGAATCTTGCATACCTCTGTAGGTAGACCAAGAAACAAGTAGATATAATAACTACACAGCAAGTCATGACGTACAAAAGATAAAGGTTAAATAATTTCTCGATCATCTCTTTTACTTTTTATGTCTGTTCGCAGATAAGTAGTCAAGCAGGCCAACTCCTCTTAAGTGGAACGCTATCTGCGCCAGAAAGTGTGGAGCTTTTGTGTTCCTCTGCTCTGGCTGCAAAGTTCGCAGTCAGATTACATCTTGTCACTCTTTTGTTTGAGGTAAGTTTCTTCCGGATAGTAGCTTTCATAATTTCTTGTTGAGCCTGGATTTATATTTTAGATCCCCCCCCCTCTCTCTCTCTCTCTCTCTCTCTCTCTCTCTCTCTCTCTCTCTCTCTCTCTCTCTCTCTCTCTCTCTCTCTCTCTCTCTCTCTCTCTCTCTCTCTCTCTCTCTCCTCCCTCCCTCCCTCCCTCCCTCCCCCTCCCTATTTTTCACTATCACTTTGCACTGAATTCAAGATTTTGTTTTGAGCACTGATAAAAAAAAGAGTTGTTCTATAATACATACAAATTCTCCATTGTTTATTAGGAGATGAAGAGAGGCTGCGCAAGGGCTATGGAGCGTGCAGGGTTGGTAGACACCCTTATCAATCTCTTCACACTGACGCATGCAACTATGGCAGCCAACCCACCTTCACCAACACAACCCGCATCCACGCCAGTAGCTGGTTCATTACCCCCGGCGCCTACACCCACGCAAAGCAAGGAGAAAGACAAGGAGAAGGACAAGGATGCCGAAAGCTCGGGCACTCCCAAGTGGCTCTCTCCTGGTCTCCTCCTGCTCGACCTGTACGAGAAGCTGTCCATTGCCACCAAGAGAAGAGCGGCTGTGAGCAAGGTAGGACAGGTGTATTTTTTATCAAACATCGTGTTTGTTTTTCTAGAAGGTGAAATGGACATGAAGGAAATCAGTCAAAATAGTGACTGCTAACACAAATGCAGTTTGACTTGTGTTGGAAGTCACTATTTTGTATTACTTATAAAGTTCTGTACGTAATTATTGTCATTACCATGTGATTATTTCCAGTAAAAAAGAACCCTTTCCATTTAATTCATAGACAGTTAAAAGGATACTGTATTATTAATAAGGAAAACTTTTTTATCCATTCACAACTGGTAAATTTCAACTGTGCTAGCTCATGCTCCTCTATATCTCCTTTAATGTATGGTTCACAGCTGGGCTCCTAAAGTTCTATCCCTGTTGCTTGGACCAGGGCTTATGATGTGACTTCATGTCACTTGTTATTTAACGATTTAGTGGATGTCCTCTCCGATGTAGAGAGTATGTTGTGGTGACAATTGAAGAAAGGCAAAGTATATATATTATTGTTATTGTGGTATTTTGTTTTGAAATATGATTATCTTTTCTTTCAGCTTTGTAATCATGTCTGGAAGTGGTTTGATATGAGTACATTGAAATGGTGTGCTTACTCAGCTAGCAACAATAAAACAATTGATGATGCATACTGGGCAAAGCATCCAAAAGGGCGAAAGTATCAATGGGAGAAGAAAGTACACCATACAGTTCAATTCTATGGTCCAGGTAAGGCTTTCCATCTGTATAGATTTACTCTTTAGACAATTGCATATTTAGATGCAAATTTGGACATGACAAAGGAATATAATATGTTCTACCTATATGTTGAACATTTTCTGAATTCATTTACCAGGTTAATGAGGAGTCAGGAAATCGTCGTCCTGTCATGATTACCATCAAGGACAAAGTAATAGAAAAGAAGTTGCCAGCAATCATGGCCAAGGAGGAGAGTGCCCCTCCCACAGATGACGACAGCCAGACGGACTCAAAGAAAACAACCTCCTCGGAGGAAGAATCCAAAAAGGAGGAAGGGGCAGAGGCCGTAACGGAAGCAGTGACCCTGGTGGCCGCCATGGGTCCAGAGGTAGACGTTCAGCCAGCTCCTGTTACCGTTGCTCCAGAGGCAGATGAGAAGATGGAGTGCGAGGATGGAGAGGAAACGACAGCTTCTGCTTCAACAGACATGAACAACTTGGACTTGACGGCTGTTGATGGTTTGACAGAAGCTCATCAAGAAGCCATGATTAGGTGAGTTTAGCAACAGTGCCATAGTGTTAATAATTTCTGAATGTATCGATGATTATGCAAGATCCATTCCTATTGTAAAGGACTGCTAAACTTTTGCATTATTGCCTACGTGATTGAAAAGATAATGATCATAATTGCCAACCCACAGAGCCTGTGTTGGTTTCATCAAGCTGGGTGTAGAGCCAGATACTCTCCATGCCCTGATGCGACTGTGCCTGAGAATCACCCGTGTTTGGGAGCAGGCATGCCTCTTTGCCAGTCTTGGGGGTGTGCGCACCTTGCTATCCCTGACTGAGTCCTCAGGTTTCTGGGGTTTCCATAATCTGGCAGCTCTTCTCATGAGACACGTCTTGGAGGAACCAGCCACATTGCGTTATACTATGGAAAAGGTTTGTTTGTTGCCAACATTGTTGAGAGATAGAGATAGAGAGAGAGGGATATATATATATATAGAGAGAGAGAGAGAGAGAGAGAGAGATACTTAGAAAAAGACTGAGGCAGAGAGAGAAATAGACTGCAGAGAATTGTGGATCAATTTTTAACATGAGTGGTAGATGGTCTTCCCTTAGTTGATTAATTTTTATTAAATTATATAATTCACCTTTTTCTAGTCTGTGATAATTTAGAGGGGAAATAAAAATTTCTGATGAATTTTGCTGCAGGTGGTGAGGTCATCGGCAAGCAACAACACCATGTCAGGGGCCAAGGAGCTCCACTACTTGTTACGCCTCTTAGCACCAGCAGCCTGTAGGGATCCTCAGCTGTTTACCGAAATCACACAGCAGTGCCTTCGCATTGACCTTAACATGACACTAAAGCGAAATCTTATGTCAGCTAATAGTAAGTGGGAGATTACCTAATGTTTTTGTTTGTTTCTTTGTTTATTAGTATTATTTATGTATTTTCTATTTCATATTTTTTTTCATTCCCACATCCTGGAAAGCAAATTGATAAAATATTTTGGAGTAATTTCAAATAATATTATTTCATGAATCAATACTAGCTCGAGTGTTTGTATTTAATCTTATTATTAATCCAAAGGTGAAGACAGTATTCTCATGAAGAGTATTGGAGGCAAGAGTGCCGTTGGGAGTGGAGCTACAGGCAGCACGAGTGGGACTGGTAGCAGCAGTGGGGCAAGCACAGGTATACCCTTGAGTTCAGAGCCACAGCAGCTGATTCATGACCTCCTGGAAGCACTGACAACGCTCAGTGATGATTCAGACACAGCATCTACAACTGCGACAACACCAAGCTCTGCCGTAGCCCCAAGTGTAGCTGCCACCACCACGCCAACAGAAGAGAGAACCGGGTCGACTGGTGGTAGCGCTCGCAGACAGCTTCACTTATCCCGTTCGTCTTCTGCCAATGACATGGTTGTTCAGGAAGCAGATGAACAGGTGAGAGTGCAGTCTAGCAGGGTTTTCTGGGGATAATTTAATTTTGAAGTCTTGCTTTTCATAGCTACTCTTCGGAGCCTTCTTCTCTTCCTGTTAGTAAATATCATATACATTGCAGAGTCCAATGGATAGTGAAAGCAACAAGTTACCTGGAACTGATAGTAAAGCTCCCTCCAGTGATAAAATGGATGATGCTGCCAAAAAGAAGAAACCGTTGCTGTCAAAGTCATTGATTTGCAAGTTGATTGCGGAGTTTGTCCGCTCCTATGCTGGTTGTGCAAAACTAGTCACAGAGCATCACTATTCGTCAGGTGCTAATGAGAAAATCACAGAGGTAAGGTTCACGTATTCTTTGTGTAAATTTTCCTTGTTTGGAGAGCGTAGTAATAGTAACCTTTATTGATTCCAGCGTTTCCTTTATGATACAGTAATGGATTGCACTAATTCGTAATCCAAATCACATATCCATTACACTAATAGCACACCAAAAGTAGATTTAGAATATGTGAGTGCATGCTGATAAAATGTTTCCTTTTCTCCTGTTCCTTAGGATTGTTCTGCATTGGCGTACATGTTAGACCACTTGGTATGCAGTGGCCCTACCTCAGATATGGTTGGTGGTGGCTCAACAGCAGATAAGGACACAGCAGGTCATGTGCGTGTACTTATCGCTGCCCTCGCATCATGCAATCATGCTCCTGATGCACAAACAATACTTGTGACAGAGGTGAGGCTTTTATTGTTATTATTATTGTTGTTGTTACTGTTATTGTATTTATTTATATTATTTATCTTGATATTTACTGACTTATTGTTTTTGGGTAAAAGTGTGTGTGATTAGAACTAGTTCTAGCACTTTTATATGGCAAATACATTAGATAAAAAGTATCTCAAAAAGTGTCTTCATAATCCAGTTGTGCCGGATGCCATCTTCAGAAGGCTGGAGTCTTTTACATGATTTTGGTATTTAAAACTCTAGTAGACCTATCCAATCAACAAACTCAGGAAGCCGCAAAATATACCTAGGTTTACACACACATGCTAAGTTCTATGTGCTTTCAGGTTAAAGGAGCGTTGGCAAGAGCAACAGCTGTTGCAGAGAGCGCCGAGAAACATGCAAGACTGCAGGCTCTCGTGGGTTTGATTTGCACGATGATGGAGGCTTGTCCCGCCCAGTTGAATCAGCCACCGAATCTCTGCTTCAAACAGCAGCAACATGGGTATGTTTTCAGGCAGAGTTGACAGATGTGGATATTCATTAGTAGGGGTATTTACATGAAGGGTAGTGTCATGAAAAATTGAAGTCTAAGATAAGGTATGACTAATTAACTTCCCTTGACAGAATGAACAACATGATCCGAGTGATGGTCCGCAAAGGTCTAGTGACTGATCTCGCCAGAATACCCCATAGCTTAGACCTGTCCTCACCCAACATGGCAGGCACAATCAATGCTGCACTCAAGCCACTCGAACTTGTCTCAAGAATTGTTAATCTCCCATCGTTCGTCCCGACCTCTTCATCGAAAAAGAAATATCCACAGCACGATGACCAGCAACCACCCATCGGTAAGGCCAGGATTGCCTTGTTCACTTACATTGATAAGAGATTTGTTTGTAGAAGTTTTTCTTTTGTGGCAATTCTTGATCAGTTAAGCAATTTTATTTTCCCTATGTTGATCAAGCATTTTTATGGTGAAGTTTTCCTTTAGTGCCTTTTACAAAATAGGTGTAGTATATCACTATGATTCTTTTCAAATTGCAGGTACGGGTACAACCAATAGTGAAGCAACTCGTGCACAGGGTGATGACAATATAGAAGACACAGAGAATACTGAACATGATATATCAGGCGCTGGAGAGAGCCTGGAACCATCCTCAGATGCACATCCAAATGAGGTTAGTGTGACTTCCAGGATTTAAGTTCACACTTGTCATTTTTTTATTTTTTGTCTGGTTGCTTCAACTTATGAAAAATGGTCTTGGAGATGTAATCTGAAAATGTAAATTTTCAGAGTGAAATTTGTAATTTTCTCCATTTGTATGTTTTTATTTCTCTTACTTTTAGTATCTCAAAGTTTCAGTATTTGTGTTGGGTCTGATTGTTTCAATTTATGCTCACAGGATAGCACTCTAGTAGAAGGGGATGAGGCTGGTCTGGAAGAGATCCTCGACCAGCTGCTTGAAGAAGGCGCTGGAGGGGGAAGAACACAGCAACACCGTGATTCTGTGGCTGCAACGGTCACCTACGTCATTGACCACGATCCCCCCATGGACACAGATGACACCCTCCATGACTCACGGATGGTGACTCATTCCGAAAGTCAGGTTAGTTGTGTGGGAAGCTTTAAAAAAGAAAAATTCCCTTATGTATCATATGTACTAGAATATATATTCATCTACCCAGTCACATTCAGTCACACTCACACTGTACACGAAAATAGAACTGAATTGATGTATCGTTTGGTTCCCATTTCAACAAATGTATATTGACGAGACATTGTTTAAGTGTAATATCCTTTTTCAGTTCCTAGATGAAGGAGAAGCAGGAGGAAACGAAGAGCAGGAGGATTCGTCTTCCGAATCTTCAGAAGAGAGAGAAGACGAAGAAGCAGACGACGATAATGATGACGAAGAGGTGGAGGAGGAGGAGGAGGAAGAGGAGGATGGTGGTTAGTGGTGGAGGATGTTTTCTTTTTGCACATGCAGTAGGATTGGTAGATAGTGGTATTTGTTAGATTAGTTTGGCTATAATGGTCAGGTCTTGCTCGCTTGGTTTCGGCCTGGTTGTGCTTTGCTATTTTTGGTTTATTTTGTCTCTTTAATATGCATCATGGACTAGTTTTTATCTATTATATATTGAATTGTAATTGTAGATATGTGCAGTAGCCCCACAGATGAGATCTTCGTTTTCTTTCTTTCTTTGCAAGTGGATGTTTACATTCTGCTGGTTGCATGTGTACTTTTGTGGAAAAGAAAAAAAGATAGGTAGCAGTAAACAATAGAATTATTATCTGAAAGCATTGCATGTTTTGAAATGTGAATCATAGCTGTAGATATAGAATTGTTAGCTTGAAATCGTTTTTTGATGATGGAAAGTTATGTAGGGGAGTCAGAAGTTACGAGAAAGAAGTTTGAATAATTGGAAAGTTTTGTAGGGAGTTAGAGATTACAAGAATGAAGTTTGAACAATTGATTATCAATAGTAAATACTGTCCAGCCTCATTAGTGGGCTTTGCACAAGGGCCATATATCCATACATGGTATATAATGTATATATGGTTTGAGTGCTAGAGTAGATACTATTGGATTTGCTGATTAGTCGTAGTGGCTAATGAGTGATAAAAATAAGTAACAGGTTTATTTTATAATCCAGAAATCGTTTTTGAAACGAGTGCAGAAGAAAGAGAGGTTATAAATAGGTGGATTCTGAGATAATGTGAACGTCCATATTTGCTGGCCTATAAGATGCATCCTTTTTTTCAAACATTTTAGTGCATGAGAATCATTTCACCAATTTTGGAGGAATATCTTCATATAGCCAATTAAATTATGTTGGTATTGTTTATCAAAACATCAAGTATATGACATTATTTAGGCTTTTGTTTGAACTTGAAACTAAGCTTACAAGTCAAAATTTGTCTAATAGAGATCTTAAATTGTGTAGATATTTCTTGTTTACACTGAATAGTACCAGGCCTTCATGGCATTTAGCAACCGGAAAAATAAAAGGATTTTTTTCTAGAGGGATATCTTTGGGTATTCCACAAATACCCTTTAAGAATTTTAAATGCCGTGATGTTTTGTGGTATAGCTGGGCTACAGCACCGTTGCTGTTATTGTTTTTGTTGTTGCATAGTTGTTTGCTCAAGTAACAAATAATTAGTTGTTTTTTAATTCTGGAAATCTGTCATTTGGCATTTTGTAAGTTTATATGATATAGTTAGCACTTCGGTTAGGATAGCTGACAAAAAAAGAGTGAAAAAGAGAGAATGTGCAAGTATCCTGCACATTGAATTCTTTAAAGTATTATTGCCCTTCTACAGCTAGAGTAACCATTATTGTAGACCTTGAGCAACTCTTTATGAATTTGATGTCATTTTTATTTGATATAAAGTGTGTTATGTTCCTATGTTAGTTATATTCTTAGAAGCACAAACTGAGAATTTGTGTTCGTTGGATTGCAGTTCACCACATATCACTCCACCCGCTTGCTATAAGCCTTACACCTTCAGCTCTTGTGATCCGGGCATATTGGACACAGGGTAATTTACTTATTATTTTATTATCTACTTTTGTTATTTTGTGATTTCTTTTCCTTCCCCTCCTGGAGAGCAGTTTTGTTTTATAGGCCAGCAACTATGGGGTTTATAGAGAGAAAGAGGGAGGTGGGGAGGAAATGTTTGTGTGCATTTCATTTAGAGTTAAGTCTGCAGAAGTACTAGCTGCAGGATAGTCAAAAAGAAACGTAATTTGATATTGCGTTTTAAGGAATTTACAGATTAATCCTTTTAGTTACAAGATGTTAATTAGAAAGCACTCTAAGTCCAATCCTCCGCAAACACTAATAAATCCATGTATGGAGAGAGTGAGTGAGCGAGTGAGTGAGCAAGAGAGAGAGAGAGAGGGAAGGAGAAAAAAAAACAAATCTCAAAATTATTTTGTGAAAAGCCATTTTCTATGCGTGTTTGCACTGGCGAACATTTAGTATCAGACTGAATCCATTTTGGATCCAGATCACAAGAAAAATAGAACCAATTTGTCCCTGACTCATGAGCAGCACACCCATTTAAATTCATCGTAGTCCATTAGCAACTTCTCTTGTAATTCCGCTGTCAGATGGACAAACCAATAAACCTGAGAAAATGTAATCTCTTTGCATAAGTGATGATAAGGAGTAGATAGCTGTATGAATAAATTGTATCCTTAATGATCTAAGGATGGCCAAATAAAACGAAGCCTCGTCCCTCTCTTTTCAGCTGATGATGATGACGAAGACGAGGAAGAGGAAGAGGAAGGCTCTGTGTTTGACGAGGGCTATGAGGACTTGGAGGATGCCTTCATCCGTCTGCCGGGTGAGCGGGACTCTGACGACGTCCTACTCCTGCCATCGTACCAGCAGTACATTGACACCATTGACACGATCATCTTTGGTGACCGAGTCTCTCTTCATCACCATAGCAACTCACATGAGGATCCGGCGTTCATGGCATCAACACCCAATGCCAACCCCAGTAAGAATAGGCACCAGTCATGTCATCACCTCTTGTTCATTTCCTTTGTCTTAATTCTTCCCCTCCTCAATGTGATAAATTTTCATTTTCATTTCTTAACTCATTTTTTCTTCCTTTTTATATTTTTTGTCTATTGATTCCTTGTTCACTGATATTGAATTCTAATGTTTATGTGAAGCAATGTTTTAATGAGTCCTTTTGCCTTACAGGTGGGAGCAATGCCATCCCAACGCACCCACTGTTCCAGAACCCACGCGAGGTCCCAGCCACTGCCAGTGCCCGCCTCAACAGCCGGCCCAGTCGCCAACGCGGGGTGCTCAGGTACCATACTGTCACCCCACGCACCCACACCACCACCACCACCATACTCCAGAGGTGACCCCCCACTCCCCATGACCACAGCTTGCACTAGATTCCTGGTAGCACACACCTTGTAGCTCACCTCGGCTCTCTCTTAACCAATCATGCCACACTTGCAAGAGGAAAATCGCCCGTCCCCTTCCCCGCCCAGCCCTCGCAATACCCATTCTCCTTGCCCAGTGTTCCCCTCTTCTTGGTTCTATCTTGCGAAAAGCTGCCAATCTTTGTCACCCTCATCTCTCCCTATCTCTCTCTCTCTCTCTTTCCCCCCTCCCCCTACCCCATGTAGTGTACACTTCCCCTCGGCTTTTGCTAGACCCTCACTTGGAGCCGTTCTTTTTGATAGTGACCTGGACATTTTCTTTTTTTATTGAATTATTATTTACTTTTTTTTTTTCATTTCACTTATTGGTTACCCCTTTGTTCATGGGCTTTTCTAAAAGCATTACTCTCCCCCCATCCCTTTCCATCCATTTGTGTTTGAAAACATACTCATTACCATTCTGGAACACCATTAATCTGCAGCTTCATAAGCTACAGAGAGCATTACACATACGGCAGCAGGGATGTTGAAAGCTAAACACATTTTTATTTTTATTCATGCCAAAGAGAAAGAGAAGAAGAAAAAAAGTGAAGCCGATGCTGGTTTTGTCATTTTCATATATACTTAAAGCAAGCCGTGTAAAACTATTCCTGGTTTCCTTTTGGATGTTTCATCACAGGAAACAAAGATTTACATGCTCACTGATACACCGAAAAGTAGCATAAGCTAGCAAAGGAGCCAGTGAACTTAATGATTGAGGTAAAAGGGTTGTGAATCACAAAACACAGGTGCGCATGCACACATGCACGCAAATGCACTAGCATGCGCGCGCACACACACACACACACACACACACACACACACACACACACACACACACACACACACACACACACACACACACACACACACACACACACACACACACACACACACACACACACACACACACACACACACACATACACACACACACACACACACACACACACACATACACACACACACACACATACACACACACACACACACACACACACACACACACACACACACACACACACACACACACACACACACACACACACACACACACACACACACACACATACACACACACACACACACATACACACATACACACACACACACACACACATACACAC